CCGTGTGACGAGAACACTGATCTAAATTTAAATACTCAAAATGTACAAAAACATACTGCGTTTAGTGTCGCCTATTATCTTAAATGTTCATATAATAATAATATAATAATAATAATATTATTGCTTTATTTGCTAAACAGACCAAGGTACATAGGTATAAGTCTTATGCATTGTCAAATAAAATGTTTACTACTAACTAAATTAGACAAATAATAGTGATGACAAGTATACTTCTTAAGTTAATTTCTAGTGAAGAATTAAAACCACTTTCAAAATACAATTTAACAATCCATAAAATCTTATTAAAAACTAACACAAACACATTAAAACCAATTTAATAATATGTTATATCTAATAACGACCGTCTTGATTAGCTAATATTATTCCAATTGTATTCATAATATTACTGCTTATGTGTATGGACATAATTCGATCAAAATTTTGTTTATATTTCAATTGAATTTACTATGAGGAGTTATTTTGAGATTTTCTGGTAATATATTATACATCTTCACTGTTCGTATTATAAAATAGTTATGTGTCAATTGTAAACGATGTTGCACGAATAGCATATAAAAAAAATGTAAAATTTAAAAAAATCTACATTTGAGAGGGGGGGTATTCTAATTATTATATGGTATATTACAAAACAATGTACATGTAAAGCTACATCACATTTCATGCATTATCGCTAGACTTTTTTTATAACAAACTCTACAACGCGTTTGTTTTGTTTGCAAGACAATATAGTGGTCTTTGTTATCCAATCGTGACATCGTGATTTTAAATAATATTCCAACGAGCTACACATTCCTCGCATTCTTCCACTGTTTTGGTATTCTTCTAGTAAAATCTCAACTATTGTCCTTCGAAAATTTAAATGATCCCTTTTGCCTCCTTGAAGTCTATGTAACAGCCAGGCATTTAGTTCAGCAATATCAAGACAATACATAATAATTGGAAATTGTTTTCCTTTTAATCGCCGTTTGGTACAAACTTAAATTTTGTCCAACCGCAGTCGCGCTATCTACATCTACATCAACATCTGTACCTCTGATCACAACTTCTGCTGGTGCCAAGAGCTGAAAACCGGGCAGGTCATTTGTGTTGAAGTACTCCTCATCTCCAGAATCTTCGTCTGTCAAATCTTCACCTGAGTTGATGGGAGGCAACAAAGCAATATTTATTTCCGAAGATAATAAGTAATCTTTTTGAAACTTCGCAAATGATCATTTAACGTGAGACGCCTGAAATAGAAATATATTATACTCCTAATACCTATAAAAAATTGGACTAAATGCATAGGTTTTGAACATCCTAACCTCAACTTTTCAAATAAAATGAAAAGTCTGAACCTTTTACCTAACAAAAACACCTACAGCAATTAAATTTAGCAGATAACACTTACCACACTAGCTTCAAATCAATAGGCTGCAACATTTTTTAAAAATCCCAAACTTACACAAACAATATCTTACTTATCTAAAACAGTTAAGACTAAACTGGCTTTTAAAACACGTGCCTTAGGATATTCTGAAATCAGACTAGCAATAAAATCTCTGATCGGGAAGCTTTAAGAGTCTGCACACCTTTTTAAAAAGGTGCCTATAAAATGTCCTTTTAAAAGGACAATGGGCATATACAATAGGGAGTAGAAAATATATACCTAAGCATATATCTACAGACTGTCTTTTATATGATGGCGATGGCACATCCGTTTGCATAAAATCACTGATTTAATAGTCCAAACAATCTGTCACGGCCTTATGTTAAATTTACAAATTTACAAAAAATACCACCCGGAAACAAAAAACATGCTGATATAGGAAAGCAAATGCTAAGAAAGATAATGTATTTTTCCTGTGGCGCATAAACGGCGAAGTTAACCTAAAAAATTCATAAAAGTCAAAAATACATGTCGCAAACGGCATATTTTGGTTTATCTCGTCGAGCTACTCCAAATTAAGTACAAAAGAGTTTTTGTATGTGGTCCAGAAGTCGAGATAATGAAGATTTTGAAAGTAAGAGTGCTTTTGAACGCGCGAATTCAGTTTTTGGAGCGGCCGAGTATCGTCACCCTCACACCGCCGACCGCTACAGTTCTAGCTCGCGCCGCGCTCGAATGCTTCAGTTTGACGCACATTTAAAAATGTAGAAGTGGCTAAAATGAACCACAGTACTTTTTTATTGAAAAATATGTCTTCAACTTCAATCTCTGTTAGAATGGACGCTGTAGCACTTAGACAGCGGGCTGTGGAATTTTTTGAAAAAAAAAAAAAAATTAAATTGTCTCGGGTACAGAAGGTCGTAGAGCTAAGTTT